GCCACCGCCATGTCGTGGAGACGCTGTGTGTTTCATTGCGAAAGCCAAACTACCTTGTTTGGCCTTCCAAAAGAGGACACAACTAGAAATCAGTGGTTAAGTTATTTTTACGACACTGTTGCAGAACCGTACAACCCAAATTTTCGAGTGTGTGCAGTGCATTTTACGGAGGAAAGTTTCCTGAACCTGGTAAGGAGCGTAACATTTCCGTCACACGCTTGAGGTATTCAGCCAATCACAATGCACTAGATAGCTGGCCAATTAGAGCACACCGTGCTTTTCAGAATGATGAGCTTTGTAAAAATCGACGCGTTTCAGAAAGGCGGGGCATAGAGGAGCAACAATAATGTACAGTATGTGGAAAATAATGTGTTTTTTTAACCTTAAACCTTGTAAACACATTGCATTACACCAAATACACAAAATAATGTTCTTTTTAGCAACGCCATATGACCCCTTTAAAATGTATTTTTGCATTTAGCATAGTTTTCTTTCCTTTGGTCCATGACTGTATCCTTTTTTTAAATTAATTTTTGGGTCTCAACCCACCACTTATAAGGACCCAGAAACCAATAATGGTGATCCAAAACCTATAATGTAAATAATGTATATAGCCAATTCAATAACCCTATATAGTGTGGAGAACATAGTTCTTAATAAAAATAAATTTTTTGTTCAACTTAAGGTGCTGCAGACGCAGTGACCCACTTTATTTTTAAGTGTTGGAGTGTAAAATGGTTACACCAATTTTTAAGGAATAAAACTTACATACTGAGCAGGAGAGGTCTCAAACGTGTGGTTTAATATCTGTTAAGTCTGTTGTGCAGGACTCTGGAGTGTGTGTTTGACACTGTGCTTTACGGAGTGTTTGACATAGCGACTGAGACTGTCGGGAGCCCCTCTTGAGGATTCACTGACAGCTACATAAGAAAAGAGGAAATGCAAGACACAGTTTAAACACAAAAGAATGGTGATGCCCAGAAAACCCTTTTTTGTGTGTGTAGCTCACTGACAACCGAGGAACCGTGACTGGAGCAAACAGCAGATGATGGTTTGATCTCATGCCGATTCTTCTCACACCAGACTGTTCCAATGTGTGTCAAGGAGAAGGAAAAACACATTTTATTTAATGAAGAAAAAAAAAACTTTCTTGTTGCCAGTTTTTGGAAAATAATACATTTTAATCTGTTCAACATCATGTGACACTATTCTAGAACTTTGTTGAACACAATCTGTATGAAGAGGAAAAAAAACCTGAATTATCTCTTGTAAAGTACATTATTGTATATGTCATGTTGTTATTTTAAAGTATCTTACAAATGAAAATATTTCTTTTTTTGTGTGTGTAATTTCATATCTTGCTTTATCACAATGGCATAGATTTCATGTTGTGCCAACTGAAATAAACTGCTGAAATTAAAAACTGAAATAAAATAAAATGCTGAACTAAAATATAAAAATTAGCTGCAAAATTTATTTGGAAATAAGTTTGAAACACTAAAATTACTAAAACTAAAACTGAATTAGATACCATTTAAAGCTTAATAGAAATAAAAACTAATAAAAATAAAAGCACATAACAAAACTTTGTTCAGAAAGTTCCTACATTGAAATATTTGATCATAATTTGCATTCAAATGCTATTTTCTTCAAATTAAAAAAAAGGATGTGAACATACAGAAGTGAACAAGAACGATTCATTTACTCAGAAGATTTGTTCACACATTGATTTATGAACATAGCTTCATTAGTTTTTCTGAATAATTAGATTACTTAAACTTAATCTTCTTCCACTTTTCATTTTTGTAAAACATAGATTTATAGTACTTCCAGAATTCTTAAAAAAAAAAAAAATGGAATGTGTACATCTTCAATTAATATTCCAAAGTTTTGTAATTTCTAGTAAGATTCATTCACTCAAAAAATGTGTTCAAACACACCAGTTCATAAATGTAACATCAGAAGTATTCCTGAACAATTCTGATACAGAGGCGAAATGGAACACTACTACAAATAATAAAAATATGAATAAATAAATAAAGACCAGAAAGAAAATGAAAAAAAAAAAAACTGTAAAAGTTGTTTCTTAGTGAAATCGCACTTTCTCTCATACTCTTTTCTCCACATTCACTCACAGCTTGAAGACTTTTTACTCTTAAGCTTCCACTCAGTCGGGTAAACTTTTCTCCCTCCTGCTATGCAGGCCTGATCCTGTACCTCAGATGTCTACCTTAATCAGGAACCACCTGCTTACATTACCGGTGTTCAAAGGGCCTAGAGCTGGGCTTCATATGTGCATATGTTTTTTGTAATGAGTATCTGGATGCGGGATCTAAAGATCCAGGAGGGAATCTGGGCCAGTGCTCCAATGAATGACAATATGATTGAAAATGCCTACGTTAAAGGATCCCCACTACTAAATGAAAGTTAATAGTCACTAACCTAAGGCAGGGGTTGGCAGGTAAGTTTGGCATCGGGCCAAAAAAAAATTTTGCCACTAGATGGCGGGCCAGAACATAGTCAAAGGATAATTTAAGAAATTAA